TATTATGTTTATATGTGTTATCCTTATTAATCCTGACTGTAGACTAGTAAGTTATGTTCATTTTACACTGAGGAAACTGGCTCTCAGACAAGGTTATACAGCCACTAGTAAGTGATAAAGCCAAAACTTAATCCAGATCTCTAAGTACAAAGCCTGAGCACTTAACCTCTTTGTTATGCTACACTCTTTTTGGCTACACAGACGCATTTTGAAGGGGCTGCCTTTCTTTGTTTATACTTCTAGTATCTAATGTGTTCTTCCTCCCTTCCCTATCCTTTAAACTGTCTTTACTCCTGCTCCTTCTTTAAACCTGATGTTAAAAGAACTTCAAGGAAATGTTTGCCTGCCTTGCTGTGACTACTGCCTCAGCTGGCTCCATTCCCTGGGCTCCCACAATCCTTGGCTTAGCGTCTTTATTGGACTATGCACATTATTATAAATATCATGGCTTTGAGTCTCAATTGTAAGGTTCATTATATACTATGCACATGATTCTAGATAGCCACATTTTTGAGTCTCAGTCATTCCATTAGGCCAAGAGCCAGCCAACTTTTTCTCTCAAGGGCCAGAGTATTGACAGTTTAGATAAGTAAATGCTCTAGGCTTTGTAGGCCACTTGGAATTTGTTACAACTCCTGATATACTGCAAAGGCAGCCCTATATCATATTTTTAAAAATTAGTATGACTGAATCTAATAAGACTTTATGGATCACAGCTAAGCAGGTATACACTACGCTACCAGGCCACGTAATAAGACTTTATGTATGGTCAAGAGAAAGTTAACGTTTGTGCAGTTGGCACATAATGTTCTTTAAAGAGCCCTGGTCCAACTATCAGGTAATCGTTGAACTGCTAACTACACGGTGAGCAGTTCAAACTCCCCAGCCACTCTGCAGCAGAAAGCCCGTCTGCTCCTGTGAGGATTTCCAGCTGCCGAAACCCCATGTAGGAGCCCTGTGAATGAGAATTGACTGTATGCCATGGGGTATTCATCCCTTAATTGTTCTTTCCAAGCATTAAAACATTTTTAGTGGTGTCATGAACTCATCAGACTCAGACGCACTGCCATCAGGTCAGTGCGGAGTCGCAGCGGCCCTGTAGGCTTCACAAAAGTAGATGACAGGTCTAATCTGGCACGTAGGACAGAGTTTGCTGAGCCTTGCGTTAGAGCAGGAATTTCTTGCAAAGGACTGCTGTTTCTCCAGTGTACGGCAGCATGAAGTTGGTGCTAAGGAAATTGTATTAATTTAAAAAACAAGACTAAATGGCGATTAGATGAATCTAGAACAGCAGTCCTCAACCTGTGAGTTGCGACCCCTTTGGTGGTTGAATGACCCTTTCACAGGAGGGGTCACCCAATTCATAATCGTAGCAAAATGACAGTTATAAAGTAGCAATGAAAATAATAATTACATGGTTGGGGTCACCACACATGAGGAACTGTACAAAAGGGTCGCTAATTAGGAAGGTTGAGAACCACTGCCCTAAAAGGAAGAGAGCCACTTTTAAGTAGTGCATCCCAGTCAAGGGAGAACTATGTTTTCAGGGGGAAGGGAGTTTGGCCTATAGGAATAATTGTACACATATGCAGATATATGTTTGGGGGTGTTTGTAACCCAGAAAGATGCAAAGCAACCTGACCATCCAGCTGCATTAGTTGTGTGAAATATCCATAAAGTAAAATACCCTTCAGTCGATCAAAGGACTCACCTAGCTGTATATGGACTCTTTTCTAGTCACTGTCCACTGGTCTACACTCATAACGAAGATCAAGAAGAACAGTTATGGGCAGATAGCTGCCACATTTGCTAAAACCAGTTCTAAAAAGCCACCCTGGATGTGGCGGGGCGGCGAGGTGAGCCATGTCCCAATTTGGGTCAATTCATGCAGTTATGTCACCAGGCAGAGCAGGGACACAATGCAGATTCACAACCTGGAGTTTCTTACTCAGTCTACAACCACGTTGTCTGGCTGCAGTTAAGTTTTGAAAGGTCTGGCTCAGGATCCACTTCTAGAATGCATAGAAAATACTTAACACACATAAAAGTGGGAGCCAAACCCACTGCTGTTGAGTTGATTCTTACGGGAGCGGACGGACAGCCTTGTTGTTCTTCTGAGGAGCAGCTGGTGGGTTTGGGACACCAACCGTAGAACATTTTCCCAGCACGCTGCCAGGGCTGCTCAAAAATGTCTACGGGAGTAGACCGCCTCTAGTATGCACAATCCATCCTTATTAAATAAAAGGCTATCTTTGTTCTTCTTGGAATTAGCATACATAGTATATATTCCCTTCATGGTGTTGTAGGAATGGCGGTGATTATATTTATTGGGCTTGTGTATCTTTATTGGGTTTATTTCAAAAGCCTGAGTGGGCTGTCTTTGGATAGTCATTGTAGCTGAGTATTTGGGACTAAAAATGTGAGACATTTACTAAGTGACAAAGAATCCTCACAATTGATAACTCCCTGCAGGGTTGGGAGTAGAGGGAATGCAGTAAAGAATAAGAGGGAAAACGTGGTTATAGTTAAAACTTTGTAAAAGAGAGGGAATGGGAGTAAAGACAATCTTGGTAGTATCACTTAAGAGGAAAGGAAACTTTGTTCAGTTTTGGGGGGGGGGCGCTGAGGAAAGTAGAAGAAATTTAACCTGATGTTAACATTTACTAATTAGTAGATAGTACCTGATTATTTTAAAAGTACAAAAAAATTAAATGTTACTTGACATGTTTTTATGCTTTGTCTTTTTAACACTACTATTTATTTCTTCTAACATTTGTTGAATATTGTGTTGGGCTGGGTAGACTAGAGAAACAAATCCACAGAAACTCATGTATAAGAGAGAGTTTTATATAAAAGGTAGGTGTAAATTAAGAAAGCATCCCAACCCAGTGCTGTCCAAGCCCATAAAGCCAACATTAACCCATATGCCCAACACCAATCTACAAAGCCCTCCTCAATCTCACAAAACACACAAAATGACACCGAATGCAGGAGGAAAGTCGAATCAGTGAGCATGTAAGCATCTCAGCGCTGGCAGGGGTCTCCATGCGGCTTCTCCAGCCCCTAGGGTGCATCAGGGTAGATCTATGTGGCGTCGCCTCAGGGATGTCTCACAGGAAGTGAGCCTTGCCAGCTGAGGCAGAGAACTCAAGAAGGCAGCCACACACTAGTCCAAGAGTCAGAGAACAAGAGACCAGAAAGGTGAGGCTTGCAGAGCCATTTATCTCTCCGTCCTTCAATTAATTCCACATGTGTTCGTTGGCCAGGTTGGCACAATAAACCCTATCACAAATACCTACTGAGCACAAAGGAGCCCGGGTAACACAGGTGGTTTGCAATCAGTTGCTATCCTAAAGGTGTATAGTTTGAACCCACCCAAGGGGTTAATGGAAGAAGGGCTTGGCAAACTGCTTCCACGAAGATCACATTTAAAAAAAAAAAGAAAAGAAATCCTATGGAGCAGTTGCTCTATAACCTATGAGGTTCCCATAAATGAGGGCCAACTCAATTACAGCAGCAACTGCAGACAAAGCCCTGTCTGCTTCCAGGCTGTTAAGTACCTTTTCCTTGTGAAATGCTTTCATGGTCAATACGTTTGGGAAACACCGGCTAAGCAATGTTTGTTAGACGTCTTCACTTTGGAATGTCTCAGAGCCTTTCCTATACTAATGTGACTTGACCACAGTGTCTTTCTTTCTGGAACTCTTTCCTGGAATCATTTCTGGGAGCAACTTGGTGGATCGCTAGGAAATGTAGGTAAATATTGACTTACACTTTCCATTGAATTGCTGTCTGATCTGCTGATTAAGTCCGCGTAATCAGATATAGTCTCAATAACCAGATCAGCAGTTTTTGAGAATTCTGCTTTCTGAAAAGTGATGACAAGAACACTGGTGACACATTTAGGTGTATATTGTTCAAGCTGTCAAGGGTGTAGAAAATGAGTGATGATAATTCCCTGAGCCTTCTCTTTTAAATGAGGAATAAGGAAGAGCTCTTCATTTAGAAGCTCTTCTGTCCAGTCTGAGGGGAAATCCCTGTCTTAGCTTCTCTAGACTTCTCCGCCTTCCTTGCATCCTCCACACAGTGTCGGTATTCCCTGTTTGCTTGCTGGTCTCAATACATAGTCTGCTCCTGTTTAAGTCCTCAGAGTGATGGGCGTGAATATAAAAACTATTTCCAAATGAGATTACATCCATAAGTATAAGGCTTAGAATTTACAACATATTTTTGGCAGGGACACAATTCAGTGCATAACAGTGACCATATGTCCAAACTGGGATGCTAATAGATTGAAAGAGATTTATTTTAATGATAGTAGGACCACAGATCTCCACCAGGACCATACCGGGCATACTGGAATGGTTTCATAGTTGGTGCCACACCAATGGCTCTACAGTTTTCTCTGGTATCTTAATTGACTTCAGCCCCGATTCTTGACTCCAGTTCTGCATTCCCCAGAGTCAGAGTTGATTGATTCCTAGTTGAATCCCAGCCTGTAGAATGTATAAAGGATTCTGAAGTCATTAAACCCAAAACCCCGACTTTAAAGAATAGGATTATATACTTAACTAGTGGTTTTCAAAGTGAATAAAAGTAGAACGATGCATATTCTTGACCACTAAAGCATGTAATTTTAAAAACGTGTCTCTCCCAGAGAATGTCACCTCAGTACTGAGACTGTCAATTCACACTACCACAGTTGAAAAAGAGCTCTGGGGGCGCTGATGGGTAAACATTAGGCTGCTACTCAATGGCCTTTCAAACCCACCAGCTACTCCACGGAAGAAAGAGGAAGCTACTGATCCTGTACAAATGTAAAGCCTCAGAAACCCTATGTAGGCTCGCTGTGGATAGAAACCAACACTGTGGCAGTGGGTTCTCAGCACCGTTAAAGTGGTCTGGACTGTGGAAATATTTGCAAAACTGACGTGGCTACAGGAGAGGAATTGTTTCACACTGGATTTAATGTTTTCTGTCTTTTTTCCATCCTTTTACAGTTTTTTGAGGTGCCATTTGACTCAAACATGAATAGGACAAAGAACAGACCTCTGGTTCGTGGACAGATCAGGTAAAAAGATGAATATCACACTTCTTCCCTATTATATAGAACAGGCATCTTTTGAGACGGAACAGCCAATCCTGTCTCTCTTTGAGAGCCATGAATACATATTTGTATAAACAATTAAAATCACCATTATCTGAAAAAAAGATCCTTTAAAATTTTTCACTTTTACTTCAGAGCCACAGGTCTGTACCGAAAGGGCTCATGTGGTTTGCAAGCTGCAGTTTGCCAACCCTTAACATCAAGCATCCATTTTCTTGTTCCTCCTAAATAATTGCATAGTCTCTCACCATGTATTCTGGAGTTAAGATAACACCGTCAAAGGGACAAATTGATATGGATACATAAAACTTGTCACACCAATGTGTACTACCAACCCCTTAAGATGAGACTAAGGATTGAAGTTTTATTGTGAGAATAATTTATAGATTACTTTATTTAATTCAATTTTGAGACATGGACTTCGTTTCACTTGGAGTGGCTGAGGATAAAAATCTTTCCATTAGTACAGGTGATTTTTTTTTTTAGACAAATCCATAAAAGGTCACAGAAAGAAAGATAAGTCTGAGATGTAATTTTTTCAAATAAACTGATAATGCTGTTATATGCTAAGTAAAGTAATGCCTCCATTACTCTCCTTTCCACCAAATTCAATTAAGTAGTACTAGAAGTCATATAAATATTTTAATATCACTAATGGTTAATAATTAAACATTTTACTTCCTGAAGACTTCTAAATCGGCATTTAATTTTTTTTTAAAATCTAATGTGTATTACAAACCTAAAAGAATAAAAAGTGATAAATGGTTTATTACTATTTTTAATCCTCTGCATATTTTTACACAATGCCTAATGGAACTTAAAATTTATTGGGGTAACACTTGTAGATCAAATAATCATAGCAAGTAAAACATTACAGAAAAATAAATGTTGGTGCAATATTAGGTACAGTGTACACTTGTGAAAAAAATGGCATCGAATATTAACTTTAACCATCTAATTATTGGTGAATATAAAATACCATTAAATTGAAAGGGAGGAATTTGTAGAGTCAGGTTTAAGAACCATAACCTCATATATATCTGAAACTTTATTTCATTTTTTGAAGTATAAACAAAATTATATATGTAGATTTATTTTTTAACTGTCAGAAGCACTTTTGTGTAAAGTGGTTTATCTCTAGAAGGGAAAATGCAACTCTTATTACCCATCTCAAAAGCTTAAAATCTGTTCTTGCATGGTCAATTCAATAGGTCAATGATTGAATGGGACTTTATGCCCACTCATTTATTCTCAATAAATGATACACACCTCTAGAATCGGGAATATAGGAATATGACCAGCAACTACAGTTCTTAGAAATGTCATGATAGTCTTTGCCCAAAGGAGCGTTGGTAGCAAAATGCTTAAGCACTTGGTTGCTTAAAGATTGGTGATTTGGGACACCCAGTGTCACTATGGACGCAGGGCCTCTGGTGATCTGTGAAATGCCAACTTCAAAGCCCTGTGGGTTGGCTCTGCTCTGCCACATGAGGTCTCTTGTGCTGTAGTCAACTCAGTGACACGTCATGATGGCAACTCCCTTTGCCCGCTGGAAATGCACCCTTTCCTTCTCTGGGAACGCAGTGTTTGTGCTTAGTACACTCCAGAGGCAGGGTCCTCCTGGCCCTTCCTTCTGTCCCTGGCACTGCCCTTCCTTTAAAGGACACTTAGTCTTTGAAACTTGTAACTTGTTTGCTTGTAAGATCGCCCACAAAGATGGATGTATTTATAACTGGGGTCGGTTTTATTAATTAGGTCCAGGGAGCAGTTGTGAGTCTGGAACACAGATCTTTTCAAATTGAGAAGTATATCTTCAGAACTGAAGACTTTACATCTTGCCAGTTAGTGTTTATTTGGGAAAACATTGTCCGCTACACGGATATTCTATAAATGGTGGCAGTATGTGTGCCGTAGAAAGCATTTCTTTCTCAGCCTGAATGGTTCTCATGCGCACGGCAGCAGTTCGCTATTAACTACCCCCTTTGATTTGGGGTGAGCCACCTTGTTGATTTTATACATATTTTCCAATTGGGATGGGAAGTGTGAGAGCCTGTCATTGTTAACAGGCAGCAGTATTGTAAATCTGGGAAAGATTTCCTTTGAAAGCCTTGTTCTGAAGCAGGCTGCTTCAGCCTTTGTAAACAAATTGGTTTTTCTATCCATCCTAGAGATACGCTGTGAACATTTATGGAAACATACTTCTTTAGTTTTTTCACATGATCGAAGTTTACTTTGAAAATTGTTACTGATAAGAAAGACATTCTAAAGAGTGCAAGTAATGTAGTGCCACTTCAGGAAAGAATCTTGTTCATGGACTGGTAGTCCTGGGATGTTCTGAGGAGCAGGGACCCCACAGGAACCTTCTGCTTGTATGGATCCCCCGGTGTCGTGCATGGCTGCCTTTCTTTGTGCCTATAGTCTTCCCAGCAATAAACTAGGGGGGGCGGGGGGGTGGTACAGAATGCCTTAGAGAGTTGACTGGAAGGCTCTTGGGGCCTTTTGGTTTCTTCATTTTATTCCTTATTCCAGAAAGAATTTCAGATGTCACCAGATATTTTTAATAAAACAGAAAAGTAATGAAAGTCATGATTGGGAAAATTGAATATGGGATAAATTATAAGATCACAAGAAAGGTTCAACAAATTCATATGGTTAATAAAGTTGAACAGTAAATTCCATTCTCCATTTCAGTTGACATTGACTACGTAATAATGATAAAGCATTACATGCTTTGTTTATACTGAGTTCTCACTGTAGCACCAGGAGGCATATGCTGTCAAATTCTCCGAATACCCGGGAAGAGAACTAAGGTTCCAAAAGAATGAATCGCGTGCCCGGGCTGTGATTTTGAGTGAGTGGCAGAACCAGATTTGTGCTCGCTCATGTAACCCCTGACCCTCAGAGTTCTAACAAGTACGCATAACTGCCTTGCAAAAACTTTTCCATGCCAAAAAAGAGTACTACTCCGGGGAACCCAGATGTATGCCTCTGACTTCTGAAGGAATTAAGAAGACACTTGGTGGAAACATTGAAAAGAAGAAAATCATCAGCGACTATTGTAGAGGAGATCAAATCACAGGCATCCCTTGGTGCGAGCCAACGACAAATGTCAGAACAGCTTCCCAAGGGGACATTTTGTAGTGGGTGTCCTTGGAGCAAGCAGGGAGATGAACCTCTTGGCAGGCACTGCAAGGCAAGGTTGCATCTCTTGTGGCTCATCTCGGTGCAGGGAGTAAATCATGCCATCCAAGGAGGAGGGGAGATGGTATCCATGTTATCTTAGCTTCGAGGGATGGCAGAATCGAGAGAGAAAGGAGGGAAAGTGGTCTGCCAACTGGAATCACGACAGTGAGCTAGAGGTTGAATGATTGTGCATCCTGGTGTGTCAGAGTAGTCCTGATTCGTGCCTATTGTCCCAGCGGAATCATTGCTGGTGTCACCTGTTATTCTCAACAATGTCCAGTTCAATGATAACTGTAGGCCACCCTTTAAAGAGGGGTGATAACGTCATGATGGCCACTGAATTTTCTTATTTTTAAGGCTATTTCCTATGAATTCCAAATGCTTCTTTTGCCAGTAAGATGAAGTCAACAGGCTTCTTTTGCCAGTAAGATGAAGTCAACAGTAGACAAATGGGAAGTACAGTACTCTGTATCTGAATCAGTTTGTGGGTAAGCATTGTAATACAAACCCCTCCGAAATAGCTTTTTTGAACTGCACTCAATGTCTTTATGCTTTCCTACCATTGAAAGAGATAAATAATAGCCAACTAGGCGGTTTGGGCACTTACAGCCAAAATAATAGCAGTAGAAACAGTAATAATGATTGTAAGGAAGGAGTTGAAGTGAGAGCACACCTTAGAATTCAGGTCCTAAATCAGAAATTCTCATGAGTCTATAAACCCAAAAGTAGGCCTTGAAGATATTTATCTCAGAAATTGATGTCATTAGAAAATCAGAAGTGTGACCCAACCTTCATTTAGTGATAGGAAACAGTTAACTAGGAACTAACGAAAAAAACTCTATTGTAGTAAGCATTGGAGTCTTCGGATAGTCTTCAAATGGCCATTATGAGCTAAGTGAAAAAATGTTATATAACTATTTGGGGCAGTGTACATCCTCATGTAAAATGAGATCATAATTCCTATCCTTTCATTTCAGTAAATTGTTGAGAAAGCAGTATGAAACCCTAGGAATATGCAGAATAATTTATAGAACTTTCATGTGTTTTGTTAAATTTTATTTAACATAAATATTTATAATAATTTCAGGTGATAAAATCAAAAGGAAGGTCACAATGCATTTAAGAGATGGTAAGAATGAGATAAAAGACATGGCCAGTAAGAGGACATGAAGAGAGAAAATAGTAATTATTTATTTCCAATACTATGATGAGCAGAAACCACTTAGCAACAACTGGGCCATAGTAGAACATTAAATCATTCATTCATACTACCATCTCAGGACACATTGATCAGGAGCCCTGTGCACTCAGAGAAGTCTGCTGGTTGCTCGGGTTACAAAGAGATAAGTGAGGTGAAAATGACCGCCTAGGCACAAGAAGTACGTTGTAAAGATATCATAGTAGGTGCACCTGGAGGTTTCAAACAGTTTGTGGGAAATCTTCATTATGTTTATTTCCATTTTTACGTGAACTCTTTGAAGCGCCCTCATAGATGCTATATATCATCAAGACAATGATAATATCATTCTTAAAAATATATATACAGTTATTGTCATATAATTCACATATCATGCAATTCAGTCGTTCAGTCACATCAAAAAGAGC